GTGTCTCAGACAAGGGCTACATGCCTCAGAAGGGGAAGAGAGCACTTTGCTTGGAGTCATCAAGAGAATTCTTGTTGGGGATGTTGTGACTTTAATTGGAACTAGAAGTACCGGTAGTGTTTGACTAAGTGAAGAGAAGGTGTTCTAGGCTAAGGGAAGAGTTTTGGGGAAAAGGGCGATTGGGAAGATTGTGTGGAACCTGAGGAAAGGGGAGAAATCTGGTCTTTTGCTGGCTGAGTAGTCTCATTTTTACAAAACAAGAGGGGTTACACTAGATTTCTAAGAGGATACTTTCAAAAGCAAACGTGATTCTTTGAAACAGGGAAGTCAGAGAAAGAAACTGATTGTGGCTTGGGACAGAGATTGAAGTGATGGGGTCATTCAAAACAGGAAGTTGGACATGTGACACTGAAGCTTTAGAAAGGGTTTTGAAATGAAGATACAGGTTTGAAACTCATCAGGATATAAAATGATGAAGGCCCCAAATGCCAAGCCATGAGAAAGAGAAGGGGCCAGAGGAGTACAGGAGAAAGCTTGGAACTGGAAAGAACCTGTCATGGCTCTGCATCTTTTCTCCTTTTTCCGCCAACCCCACTCTGATTTTGCAGCCTTCACGGGTCTCCTGTGGGTGTGCAGGCTCTCTTAGAGAGCTGAGAAAATCTGAAGTGAGCTCCCTTTGAGAATATTCTGGTGTGCTCTGAAGCAAACCTTAATAATTTAACTTCAGGTGTACCATAAACCCTACAACATGGGGAGCTCTACTTTCTCCTTTTCGTCGCTTGGTTTGAACAATTCTGATGCCCCCACATTTGAATTGGCCAGTCACCAATGGAAAGAGTAATGGAAACAGCAATTCACCAAACCAATGGAAGGTGTTTTGATTACTCACAGGCACTATATTGAGTTGTACATCCAAATTCAAGTTTATCCAGAACCTGTGAATGTGAGCTTATTTGAAAATAGGGTCTTTGTAGATATAATCGAGTTAAAATGAGGTCATTTCAGGCTGAGCCCTACTGCAATGACTGGTGTTCAAAAGAGAGAGAAATTCGGACAGAGAAAAACACGCAAAGAAGATGGCCATGTGAAGACAGAGGCAGGACTGGAATCATAATGCCACAAACTAAGTAATGCCAAAGATTGCCATCAACCAACAGAAGCTATAAGAAGCAAGAAAGGATTCTTTCCTAGAGAGAAGCATAGGAGCGTGGCCCTGCCAACACCTTGATTTTGGACTTGTGGCCTCCAGAACTGTGAGAAAATGCAGTTCTGTTGTTTTAAGCTGCCTAGTCTGTGGTAATTTGTTATGGCAGTGCTAGGAAACTAATACAGGTACCAAGTTCATCATGAAATACCCCACAGGAAATTTTTTTATTTGGGATACCTAATCAGTATGGGGTTAGGCTGCAAAGGCACCTTGGTTTGTACCAAAAAGCTAGTGTTTGTCATTGACCCAACTTTTTTCTCTTGCCTAGGAAACAGATGCTTCAGGCTTCCCATGACACATTCTTACTTCTGTTTAGACTGTCACAGAATCCTCTAGAATTCCATCTTGAATGTTTAAACTGTCTGGATGCTTCACTTTTGAATGGCCCTTCCACTCTAATAGTTTTACCTTTAGCTTTCCTCTTATGCTTCTTTCTTTTTCTAAAAAAATTTAAAGTAAATTATTTAAAATACACAGAGGATAGAAAATAATGCAATAAACACTAATGGGCTAGATTTCTCTCTACCTTTTTGCACTTCTTTGTTTTCCTTTTCTGCCCTGTTCCCATGCACATCCCACCCCATGTACTGCTCTCAATTTCCTGAAGAAAGTGAGTGAGGTGCAGAGGGGCCCAGCATGACTATACATCTGCCCCTACGGTATAACATACACATACTGTAGATAACAATTAGGTGACTGGCTGTGGACTTTCAGAAGGGCAGGCAAGAAATTATTACCCTCCAAATAATTTGAGCATCCCTAGTACCTCATTCCTACATTTTAGATAGGCTCTTCCAGACAGAACCTATCCCAACATATTTGCCTTTTAAACAAGAATTTCTTTACATAAAATAATCTGTAAGCAGTGGAGTATGTTGGAGATGGGCTTTTGTACCTCTAGATATGCACATTCACCTTAAGTGAGAGACTCCCCTTCCTCTTGAGCTATCTTTCAGGATAGATATCACATCTGGCCTCATAAAAGGGGGAGAAGGGGTCAGGACTCATACCTGGGCACGACTGCAAATAGCTTTCCTGACTCCCTTTTGTTGCCTTTTGTCTTCTTAGTACCCTGCAAAGCTTCCCATTAGAAGGCTTTTTGTTGTTTTTTAGAAATATTTATTAACTATTGGTCATAGACTTCAATTTCCCAATTTTCCCTTGAACTTAATCTCTCCAATTAGGATTTCAAGTTACAGATTATCTTGCAGGAATTATTCTTAGTATAATTTAGAGTTCAGAGGATCATGAGGGAGACAAATAGAGGTACAAATAAAATAGTGTAAAGGTATTAAAAAATATGTTCCCATTCTCTTTTAGTAGGACTGGTAGAATTACAATGAATGGAAATGGTGCAATGTTTTTCTTCTCATTTTTTTTTTTTTTTGGACCATGGGCTCCATTCTGATTTAGAAGTCTTTCCTGCTCAGCATTTTAGTGATAATTTTCCCCCATGGTCTACAGGATCCCTGTTCTCTTTGTTTCTATAGCAACAGTCCTGTGTTGCTTGGCTAGAAGCAATTTTCTGCTGCTGTGGTGAAGCCCCATTTTTTCATTCCTTTCTCCCCAGTTGCCTTGGAAACCAGCTTCTCCCTCTTCTGGTCTCTCAGTGGTAAATTCCACTCCCCTTTTTTCTCTCTCTCTAGTAACAGTCACCTGGTCATGACTTGGACAGTGCTTTCCCATCTGTGAGTGAACATACTCCGTCATGGTCAGATTGTCATCATGAAATTAGCCTCCCTTTTGCTTTATTTGCATCATTTCTCCAGCCTGCCATCTTTCTGTTGGTTGTCATGGCAACTGTACCCTCTGAAAGTCTCCAGGCAAAGGCTCAAAGGCTCTATAGTTAACAACCATCATGTGAGAGTGTCTGCCAATATGTGACCAGACAGCTCAGTTTTAAAACCAGCCCCAGGCAGGTATCACAAAGTGGAGAGAACAAGTCTTTCGATCAGAGCAGATTGGCTTGAGAAAAGGAGGTACAGGGGACCCTAGGATCTGGTGTTCTCCAAATAATACATGTGGCTACAAGAGTGGCCATTATGCCAATGGTGATCTAAGTGATTGAGAAATGTATTGGCAGTTATTCCCGTCAGGCCTGTAGTATGCTCTAAACTTCAGTCCTAGTGATGTGATCTGAGAGCTAGGCAGAGCCAAGTCATCTCAGGGAGAAAGCAATTAACTCTTAAATTGGCTAACAAGAGGTTAGTACAATAGCTATTTAGGCACTTTTACACATTATTGAAAATTTCTCTGCCCTTAAGCTGCTGCTGTTGCCTCTTTAGTGAGGCAGATGGGATGTTACTAAATATTATAATAATACAAAGTGTTCAACAAATGGTAGTTATGTGCCAAGGCATTGTAGCAGGCACTTTTCAGACATTACTTCATTTTCTCCTTATGATAATCCTGAAAGGTATTTAATGATAAGAAAATTGAGGCTAAGAGGTAAAGTTAATTGTGTGAGGTCACGCAGCTGATGTAACAGAGCTGGGATTTGAACCCAGTCCATCTAGTTCCAAAGCCCTTTCTTTTCTTTTTTTTTTTTTTTTTTTTAATTTTTATTGGGGAATTGGGGGGATGGGAACAGTGCTGGGGAATTGGGGGAAGGGGAACAGACAAGTTGCTGTCGTTTTGTTCTTCAATCTAGTTGTGGAGGATGTTGCTTCACTGGCCCAAGTTGGCACCATCATTGCTCTCTTCTCTGGCAAGGCAGATCAGTCGCCGGCTTCTGGACGGCCGCTCACTGCGGCTGCTGGCCGCTCACGCTGGCTGCTGGCTACATACGGTAGCCCATGGCAACTCACTGCCACAGGGAGTGCAGCCTACGCCGTCGCCGGCGACTCATGGCAGCCCAGCTCCAGGTTGAGCTGTTGTTCAGCATCTTAGCTGTAGAGGGCAGTGTCACTGGCCCTCATATGTGGGATCCGAACCGGGGCCCTCTGGCATCCCAAGCGAATTCTTAACCATCGCGCCACTCGGCCGGCCCTCCAAAGCCCTTTCTTAAAGGTTGTGGAATATCCCAGATTTTGGTTCTCTCTGGTCCTAAGTTTCCTCACCTCTATTTTTAATCTGAGTGTTGCTACTACTTGATCCTTTCTGCCTTCCTTATTTTTTTCCTCTACATATTTTGAGGGTTGTTTACTTGTTTGTTTTTCTCTGTTTTCACCCCATCTCTTGCATCCTTTAGCCAAAGAGATGGAAAGTTTTGTCCTGCCTTCCAATTATGTCTGAGTTTGCTGTGGGATGAAAACATTAGAGCAGCCACTCTTGCCTGATAACTGTGCAGATCTGATCCTGGAGAACCCGGCAACTCTGAGCTCACTGGCTCCAGCACTAGATGTTAGGTAAGCCATTCTCTCCATTTAACAATTATTGAGTGCCTATTCAATATCAAGTACTGTGCTAGGTACTGGAGATACAGCAATGACCTAGGCAGAATCTGTTCCTTTCTTTTATGGAACTCACGGCCTGGAGTGGAAGTCAGACAATAAACAGGAGGTCAATTTATAATTTTATATTGTAATCAGTGCTATGAACAAAAAGAACTGGGTGATGTGAAAGAAAGAATAATAGGGATAGATCCATTTTAGATAGGACTGACATCCCCCACGTAAAAGAGCTGGTAGTCGAAGCTCTGACACTAGCTAGTTGATGGCAGTTACGTGGGGAGCCTCTCAAGCTCGGGGACCATGGTCTCGTAGCTCCCTCCCTTCGCATCCTCCCTACTGAACTGTAGGTCTGCGCAGGCGCACTGACGGTTGTCATGGGGACAGCTGCTCCCGCGCAAGCGCAGATGTCCTCAAGATGGCTGCGGTGGCGGCTGCACGGGCAGTATCTGTGGGCCCTGGGCTCCCGGGCTTGAAACGGACATTGCCTCTTGTAGTGATTCTTGGTGCCACGGGTACCGGCAAATCCACACTGGCGCTGCAGCTAGGCCAGCGGCTTGGTGGCGAGATCGTCAGCGCTGACTCCATGCAGGTATGACAGTGCGGCTGGCACCCCGGCCTGTGAAACCCGGAGGCCGCGTGCGGGTCTCTGGCCAGAGTGGATTCCCTGTGACATGCGGGTAGTTAGTGGGTGAAGCCCGAGGTTCGTGGGGTGGTGGGGGGGTTGGTGAAAGGAAACCATAATTATCAAGAGCCCACCATATGTCAGACATAGTGCCAGGAGTTTCACTTTAATCACCTCATTTATTTCTTAACGACATTACTATTTGTTAGGTACCAGTATTATCAACACTTACGGATGAGGGAATTCACCTAGGGAGGTGAGATAGACTTTCTCCATGTCACATAGCAAATAAGTGGAGGAACAAAGTTGACATCTAGCCGACCAGTAAATACCTTTTGAATGAATATTACTACAAAGCTTTTGCTGTTTCAAGTGTCCAGCGACACCAAGATAAATCGGTTACCATCTATGAGTTGCTGCTGAGGGAACAGAACAGGGTGGATAGTCAGGAGACCTGGATGCTAGTCACGAATCTGCCATCGGCCACGTGACCTTAACTGTGTCGTTATTTTGGACGTATTTATCTGTAAAGTGGAGAAAATACTACCTACCTCACGCGGCTGTGGTGATTAATCAGTGAGATCATGAGTGTTAGAATGAAGAGAAGGGTGGCCTGTTCTGAGGAAGGTCAGGAGCTTGGTAAATGCTTGTTGGAAGCTGAGATTTTTAACTCACTGGCTGATGGGAATCTGGAGGCTTTGTCCTCTTCCTTGAGTCGGAGGGAGGCCCAGAAGGAGTGTAGAACACATGGCACTTGGGAGCATTTGTGCTCAGATTGAGAGTGGGTGACATTTTGGGCAAATCTCTGATAGAGGAATTACAAGTGCTGTTTGTTGAAGAGAATTTACAGTAAGGGGTTTTCACAGAGTAAATGAGATGCTTTATGTGAAATGCATGGTGCTGATGGGTACTCGGCAAAGAGAGGCAGCCCTCCCGGCTCTACCTCATAAACCTCTGGGCAAGGTTTCTACCCTCATTAATTCATTTAGGGTGACATGACCATCAACACATGAAATGATTAGGATAATTCAGCAAATACTTGATCGCAACCTCTACTTTGTGCCTACTTTGAGAGACAAGACTTTAGCTGAAATCCTAGCCCTGTCTTTTTAAAAATATGCAACTTCAGCCTGACTTCTTCATACCCTTATTTCTTTTTCTGTAAAATAGGAAGAATAACACCAATAATAACATTGTGATGATTAAATGAGATAAAGTATGTAAAGCACTTAACAATATATGGCACATAGTAAGTGGCAAAAATATGGTGGGTGCTGTTTTTCTGAAATGCCCTTTTGGAGAGACAAAACCATAATTTTTGTCCTCAGGAAGATTTAGTCTAGCTGAACATGAAACAAAACAGTTAATAAGTGTCTGAACTGAGCTATTAAACGATGCTTTGCAAGGTGGATGGGGTGGGGAGAAGAGAGACTATAAGTGTTAGATTTTATGATAAACCATAGAATTTCTGAGAAGAGAGAAATCAATAAAGGCTGGCAGAGTCATGGAAAGCTCTCTGAAAAGGGATTTGAAAAATAGGTGAAGTTTGGATAGATAGATCAGAAAGAAAATATTTGTTGACCTGCTTTATAAAAATGGTATGTCTTGATCCATTCAGATTTTTTTTCCTGTGGTTATAAGTAATTAGAATATGAGAATTAAATTTCTTTCATCTTGGGGATGCCATGAGGATTAATTAATATATGAAAACACTTTGAAGATTATTGAGCTTTCTAAATTGGCTATAGGTTGTATTTAATTTTTATTATATCTTGGGTTTTCATAACATTTCTTTTTGGTCCCCATTGGAAAATTTTGACGTTAGATATTACTTTCCAATCCAAATAATGAAATAAAGTATCTCTGCCCCATTCACTGTAAATATGCCCAATTCTTCATATCTACCTCTGCCTACCATGTCCTTGTTAGGATAGTGCTGCTTTGCTTGTTTGTTAGCCGATGGAAGGAGATGATGCTTTTCAGTGACTTGAGGTTGACTCAGAATTTTTTTGGAAAGCATGTGAACAAAATGACATTCTTAGTGTTGGATCACCAGCTCCTTGAAAGAACATTTTTAATTTTGAATAAATCTACAGGCAGAATAACAATAGTGATAAAAACTTAAATTCATATAGCACTATTTATAAAATGCTTATGTTTTTTAATCCTCACTATAACCTCATAAGGTAGATGTTATTATTTCACAGATAAGTAAACAAGCTCAAGGCCTTACAGTAAGTAGTAGACACGGAGTTAAACATAGGTCTACTTTTCATGCCCAGTGCCTTATCCACACAGAGCCATCCCCTTTAGATGAGGCAGGAGCTGTGGGATTCAATCATTAGAAAGTATTTCTTAACTTGTATGCCACTTTTCTTTCACAAGAGTGTGCTGTGTTTTGATCAAGATATAAAATGTATTTTAGGATTTATATTGTGAACCATAATGTGAATTCATAGTGATGTCTGTCAAGTGGAGTGTTGAGCTGAGTGGTGGCCACATGATGCATTGCTTAGGGAGATAAAACGTGCTGCAACTGAGAGATAATTTAATGTCAATAATTTAATGATAGCAAAGACAGAGAATGTTTACTGGAACAAAGCGGGAAACCCTGGCCTTTTGGATAGCCTAGACAGAGCAGTAAACTTCTGTGTTGTAACAGCCACACAGACCAAAGGGTGACAAAATGGAAAGTGATGATTAGAAATTTTTCAAGTTTCCAAGTCAATCTTTTTTTTTTTTTTAAGTTTTTTGATTGGGGAATTGGGGGGATGGGAACAGTGCTGGGGAACTGGGGGGAAGGGGAACAAGCAAGTTGCTCTCCTTTTGTTCTTCAGTCTAGTTCTAGAGGACGTTGCTTTACTGGCCCAAGTTGGCATCATCATTGCGCTCTTCCCGGGTGAGGCAGATCAGTCGCCGGCTTCTGGACGGCCGCTCACGGTGACTGCTGGCCGCTCACGCTGGCTGCTGGCCACACACGGTAGCTTATGGCAACCCACTGCAGCAGGGGCTGCAGCCTACGCCGTCTCTGGCGACTCACGGCAGCCCAGCTCCAGGTTGAGCTGTTGTTCAGCATCTTAGCTGTAGAGGGCAGTGTCACTGGCCCTCATATGTGGGATCCGAACCGGGGCTCTCTGGCGTCCCAAGCCAGCTATTAAGTCAATCTTTTTAAAAACCAATATTTGCATTTTAATAATCCCTTTTGGGATGCTGTCCAGAATTTTGTATTTCAGAAGCGTACTAGTAACCCAAAAAGGATTGTAAAATATTGCCTGAAATTTTAAATTGTGTTGCACCTCATAGTTGGTGTGTCATCCTTTTGCCCTACCTTAACTGTAGGGTCATTCCAAGGCAACCCCTACCAGGGGAGTTCTCATGCAGGGAAAGTGCTTGTTTGTGATAAACATTGAATAAGCACTTTTAAGTATTGAGGTAGCTTCTTTTGAGGTAAAACCACAATGGAGTGTTAAGGGTAGTATGTCTAGGGTGATAATATTGTCATGGAGCCTGATAACGACTTGCTTCTGTGGCCATGTAGCATCTGAGGGTTCTGTCAGGCCTCTTGTTTCCCCTTATGTGTGAGATTTGTTGAGTGGGAAGTCAGAACTGTTCTCTAAGGGATTACTGCTTAGGGACGGACCCCTGCTGGCTTCTGTGGATTCTCCATGGCAGGTCTGACAAAAGTGAGAAACAACACTTATGCTTAATTTTCTGAGTTTTCCAAACCTCAGTGTCACAAATTGTAGAAACATAAATATTTTCAGTCAGTAGTAAGAGTCTAAATTTAAGGAGGGGCAGGTAATACAATCCCTGTTTTCCAGGATGGAAAAACTGAGGTGTAGAAAGATTACAGAGCAGGCTGGGGATCACACTGCAAGACACTTGCACACCTGGGAATTGGATCTGGGACTTCTAACTCATGTGCAGCGTCTCATATATTGCAGGAAGATGATACTGAAGATCTTCTTTTCAGTCTGAGCCTTTTTCTTGGCATGTAAATTCAAGGTACAATGCATTGCCTTCAGTGACTGGATGAAACATTGTACTGAGAAACTTGAAGGCACTTGCCAAAAGATGTACAATGACTGCCTGGAAATACAGGCTACCAACTATATGCCAAGAGAAAATACACAAAGTGCTCTATTTGGGTTTGTAGAGAGGAAGTATCTCTAATGCCTTAGTTCTTCAAGTCCTGTGGAGAAGCAGTAGTCATACATAGGAGCACAGTTCCCTTTGTGTTTGTCTAAACCTACAAGAGGAGACGCAAATGATTTTTGGCAGTCTGACTAGTAAGCAGACTATGTGTCATTTAATAGATGTGGAGTTCTGCGTTCTTTTTGTCTGCTTTGGGACATAATTTAGGAGCAGTGTTTGGTGTGTGTGTGTGTGTGTGTGTGTGTGTGTGTGTGTGTGTGTGTGTTATAACCAAAGGACTACTGTGTTCAAGGAGATCTGGGATGCATGTGGGAGGGATATGAAAGGAGAGATGGGATAGTGGCTTACTCTAGGACATGAAATAAAAGTCACGAAAACCTGTTAACCAGGAACGATGGGGGCTATCTGGAGGCTACTGGCAGAGAACTTTAAAAGAACTGAGCCTGACAAGAGGCCAAGAAGGAAATCTCAAACGTTTTGACTCATCTAAAAAATATGAGTTTCTAATGTCCCTTGGTTCACCTCCATTGTGAGTGAATTTAGTTTTCCTTTGGCTACAGTATTAAGCTTGGGTGACTTGTACATATACACTTTTTTTTGTGGCTATGGGGAGAACGTTGGAGTCGAACTTGCCATGTTATGTAAAGAAAGAGAAGTGACTACTGGCCAAATGGGAAATCGTAGGAGAGCATAAATGGGACTTGGAGATTCAGATTTGTGAGCATCAGGTGCTGCCCTGATGCTTTAGAGCCTGGGGCAGGATGTTGAAACAGCTCCATTTCAAAAAGGAACATATGTTTGAGGGGTAAAAG